CTTTCATTTGAGTACCCACATGTATTTTGATATATTTTTCATATATTCATATATGTAATATATATAAATATATGAAAAATTGATGTGGGTACTCAAATGAAAGGTCTCGATGAGTGTAACCTCAGGATGAGCTTATATCGATTAAAATGTCAATATTTCACAAGATAACAGGTCATTTTTTAATTATGTATCTAAAGATAGAGCATTTTCGAATGCAGCCAAAATACTTATCATCAAAAATTGATTATCGGTGAAATTGATATGAAACCTTGAAAAGGCACAAATTTAAGTCAAGACCTTTGCAATGACACTAAATTTCACTTAAAAAACCGATTTTATCGTATAACTAGCCTGGACACAAAATTTTTTTTATTCTCTTTATAATATCGATTAAATGTGAAAAATAATGCTCACCAGAATCTAGAGAAAAAAATTGTTAATATTTAATACTAATTGAATTAAAAAATTATTAGTTAATCTGCAAAAGTTTTACCAAATATTTTATAGTATTAAAATTAAAAGACATCTGACGATTTTTTAGTTTTACTTAACTAGTAAATTATTTAAAAATAAATATCTACATTCAAAGTTTTTCTAAAATTTTTAAATGTAAATTTTGTATTATTTACTTGCTAAAATTTTAAAAAATTGTCAGACGTTAATTTAAGTGTTTACTATAATTTTATATACTTCATAAATCAATCTCATTACTTATACTAAGTATTCATACTTATTTTTAAAAAATAAATAAATATTAAATCTGAAACAAAAATAAATAGAAAAGATTATTAGATTTCTTAATTTAAGTGTTTAATTAAAAAAAATATAGTCAACAAAATTTTAGATACAGAAACACCTTAAAACATATCGTCATGACCTAGGTCAGGTATGTATGATAAACCTCTCTCCTTCAACGCTTTATTCATTAAACGTTCTTGATCTTGTTTTAAATCTTGTTCTTTTCTCTGTGCATCCAAAATGTCGTCAACAGATACTTCAGACAGTGGCAAAACTCTTTCTTTATCCCTGTCCTGATAAACAAATAAAAATATATTTATTTTTATATTAATAATTAATTAATTTGTTACTGCAAGTAAATTAAATAAAGTTAATGGTTTAAACATACGATTTCGCCTAAAAGCACAACATTTTCTCCACGGACAATAAATACTCCACGAGGAATGTCTCCGTATTCTTTGCCGACGTGAATTCTTTCAATAGTTCGATGTAAAACGAGATTTGCAAATTGATCGACACTTCGCAAGTATCCAATCAATGTTCTTCCATCTCGTAATAATACCATCAGTTTTTCTGTATAAAATAAATGGAAAGTAATTATTAATTTACAATTCCACAAATCAGCTGATATTAAAAAATTGACAATTTTTTATTTTAATTATTATTAAAAAAATTGCACTAGTAGTTTTTTAAATTTTCTACGTGTAAAATTTTTATTTGTAATAATTTTTTTAATTAAAAAAAATCATAAAATTTGTCAAATTTTTGATAATTTTATTTACGTTAAATATAAAAATAATTTGAATAAAAAAAATTATATTTTTTAATTTTTAGGATTTTTAAGACAAAAAAATATTTATGAAAATAAGCACTTATAATTTTTACAAATTTCTACATTTAAAAAATTGTCAGCTGAAAGCTCATTTCAATATTATTATTAAAAAAAATGAAAATTAATTTAGCAGATATTTTATAGTTTTAAGAATTTTTTTAACTAATAAATGGGCTGGCTCACTGTAAAAAGTCGTCGTATTTACTATCTGTCATGCTATTTTTATAAATTGTTAGATATAGGAAAACCTTGTTATTTGCGTGAACTATTCATAGAGGATCCTAATTTGCGAAGATCTGAAAGACTTGCAGCGAAAAGAAATAATATTAGTTTCGTAATGCCTTTTTTTTCGACCACACAATATGAATCGCAATTTATTGTAACTGCTATTCGATTGTGGGAGGAATTGCCAGCAACCATAATAGAGTCAACTAGTCTAGAGAGCTTTAAAAATAAAATATTTGATCATTTATTTAACCTGGACATTTAATTATAGTTGTTGTTTATTGTTTTTATTAGCTAAATCGATAAATCTCTGTCATATTTCTTAATATCCGCAAAATCAAAAATCAAAATTGTTGTATTTTTTCTTTTTTAATATTCTTGTTATTTATAAATTATATTATTCTTCTTTTGTAAATTTAATTTAACTAGTTTTAATTATATTAAATTTATTTTTAATTATATTTGTATACATTAAGAATTTCTTGTAATCTTCTTGTATTTATATGTAAAAATTGCCATCTGGTACTAACTTTGGCATAAATAAAGTATTCTATCTATCTATCGATCTAATCTACTTAACTCTTGATAAGTCTTGATAGCAATAGCCACGCGAACATGTAAAAATAAAAATTCTAAATTTTTTCCAAATTAGTAAGCTATTCAACTGTTTGGCATAGGATCCTTGTAGAGGAAGTGAAAACGATTCAATTGGTACATAAGAATGATTAATAATGAACTTATCGACAATTTCAAATACGGGTGTGCGAATATCGTTCCAATCGAGTATTGATATTCGATTTGAAATTCGAATCGAATAATTCGAGTTTTTGAATTAATCGAAATTTGACGAATAATTCGAAAGAATTCAAATAATTCGAATTTTTTCGAATTATTCGTCGAATTTCGAATAATTTGAAAATTCAAATTATTCGATTCGAATTTTGAATCGAATATTAATATTCGATTCGAAACGAATAATTCGTAAGCTCAAATTATTCGCACACCCCTAAAATATCATTTATATAAACGCCCTCAGCAATTAATAATAAATCAAATTTTGAAGCTGTAAACATTATTTCCACATCTTGGAATATTTTACCTGCAACAAAAAAAAAAATAATACGTAGATTATTATTTATAAATACTTAAATTAGCCTAAAGGTAAATATATAGAATAATTTTACTAGGCCTTGAAATTTATTACCTAGTTTTAAAAAATTAATGAGATTTTTCTTAAATTTTAGATAAATAATTTCAATAAAACATATTTTTTTTATATTATATTAAAATTTATCAATAATTAAATAACAAGTAAAAAGATACTTAATAAAAATTGCACGCATAATTTTTCTAATTTTCTATATAAAATTTGTTTGAAATAATTTTTTCATTGAAAAAAAAAAATTTTCAAATGTTAGCTAATTTAATTTTCATCAAGATTTTTTAACTAATAAATTATAGCGAGAAAAATTTATTTAAAAAATTCCATATTTTGCTCTAAAAAATTAAAGATACAATTTTAATAAAATAATTTTTTATACCTTAGTTTATTAAAAAAGAAAAATTAAAAAATTGATAATTTTAATGTGTCATAAAATCATGAAACTGAATTAAACTATCAGACAAATTATTTATTTATTTATTTAAAAAAAAAAAAATTTTTTTTAACAAATTATTGTAAATTTTTTACAAGTCAAATTTTCTCTTATTTTTTTGTAATAATTTTTTCAATTAAAAAAAAAATTTTCCAAGTCAGCTAATTAAATTTTTATAATATTTTTATACTTAGTAAATAAATTATTAAAAAAAATAATATTAACTGCTAGAAAATTTTATTACCTGTTAATTTATTTATTTTGAATAAAAATAAATTAAGTAACACTTAATAAAACTAATGAAATATTCAATAATAATATAAAATACCAACCAAGGTAATGTAGACCCATCATGTTGAAGAAAAGCTCCATTATCTTTCTCAGAGAGGCCCAAAATAGTTTTGACCATATCTCTGCAGCTGGACTCAACATCCAGAGGAGCATTGGCTCCCCCCATGTCAGTTTTGACCCACCCGGGGTGCATGCAAGCTACCAGGATCCCATCGTGCTCCAGGTCGATGCTCATTGACTTGGTAGCAGCATTAAGAGCAGTCTTGCTGCACATGTACGGATAAAATCCGCCCATTTTGTTCTCGGCGATGCTGGCGATTATGGATGTCATGTTGACTACAGCTGCGCGATGAACTCCCAATCCTTGCTTACCCTCGGCAGCTTTTTTCAGCAGCGGTAGGAATGCCTAAAATTCATCAAATAATTTTTATTAATTTGCTAAGTTGTTTTTTTTTTTTTTTTTTTTTTTTTTGAGATTAATTACCTGGGTGAACATTATCGGTGCCACGGTATTAACCAGGAAAGTTTCCGTCAGTTGTTCGGCCTTGACCATCCCAATCCTCGAGAATTTGGTAGCGACTCCTGCATTGTTGAACAATACATTGAGTCCGGCTTCTCCGACTTGAGAGCTGACCTCATTGACCACGCGGGGGAAGTCCTTGAAGTCCTTGAGATCTTTAAATATATTTAATTAGTTTATTTTGATTGAAAGGTTTTTAAATTATACAATAACTAGACTACCGATTAGAAAGGTGTTACCTTCAAAATTTTATTATTTACAAGGCTATAAGTCTTTATTGTAATTAATATCATTAAATATAATTTTTTTTTTTATTTAAAAAAAAATTTATTCTGAAATTGAGAGACTTGATAATTTTTTAAAATATAAATTAGAGCAATAAAAAAATTATAAAAAAAATTTCACTTGTAAAAATTATAAAAAATTTTTTTTTTAATAATTTGTTTTTAAATAAAATTAAATTGTTGCTATTTAAAAAGTGTTAACAAAAAAATTAATTAAAAAAAATTTATGTAAGAATTTAAAAAAAGTATAAATTTAATTTTTTTAAATCAGCTGAAAATTTTTTTGATATTTATTATAAAAAAATTTTTCTTTTAAAATTTAGCGCTTGTAATTAAAAATAAAAATTTTTTAATTTAAAAACAATACCTGCTTTAATAATGACAACATTATTGGATTTGTCAGCAATTTCTCGGAGTTTCTATAAAATAACAATTGCATCAGTATATGTAATAAACATTATACAATTTGTAATAGATGTTGTGCAAGCGCGCGTCTGAATATTTGTATGGAATTATATCCCAAGCGTCACATGAAGAACTGTTGACTTTTTGGTAAATTTTATTTAATAATTGTCAACTTAAATTCAACAATATATTACCAAAAAAATTTTTGTGCCGCTTGGGATATATATTATTTATCTAAATTATACTTATTTTATTAAACTTCTCTGAGATTTTTGAGCTCAAAGAGCTGCAGTCCTGCAGCCGTATTATAAATTACAAACTATAAATGACATACACTAATTAGTCATTAAAAATTTAATTATATTTATTTATTATTCATTTAACAAAATTCATACAAAAATAGAAGCTAATAGTTATCTTCGTGAATTATTTATCTTCAATCAATCTTTTTACATAAAATCAAACCACAAAGAATATGGAACTCAAACAGCAGCACTGAAATAAAGAAAAAAAAAAATTAATTAAAAAAAAAAAAAAAAAAAAAACACGCTTATTTTTTATGAAAATTAAGTTAGCCGACATCTAAAAATTTTTAGAATTTTTTTTTATTGAAAAAATTACTACAAAAAAATTTAATTTATAAAGAACTTTAAAAACTGGAAGTGCAATTTCTTAAAAATATTTTTTAGTTTTAATTTAACAAATTAAAAAAATATTATAAAGTCAAAAACGTCGGCTAACTTTACTATCATTTTTTTTTTTATATGTTAAAGTGATTATAGCAATATACCCTTAATTGGTACTGAATTTATTCAGGTGTTCCTTGAGTAGAGCCACAAACAAAGCTGGATGAGACTCTTCCAGTGCTTTATACTCCTCTGTATCTTTTAAATTCACCAACTCGGTAACTATATAATTTTTAGCAAATTCCACCAATCTTTTTGAATTGTGAAGATCAGCTAAAATCAATATCCTGATAGAATTTTCAACAGATATTGTTTCTGACAAAGATTCTTCACAGATTTCTTTAAGTCCTAGAAGTTGATATTTATCAGACACTTGCAATAATTCCTCAGCAAAAATCTTAAAATCGTCGACTTTGTCTGTGTAGATGTAATCAAGAACTTTCTCGAAAACATCAGGATCAACATCTGGTATAGTTATTTCATTTTTTTTGTTCTCTTTCATATCATGTGAGAACATGGCATCGAAGACACAGCTACGTGTGCTTAAAACGATCTTATGAGCGTCAAATATTTTTCCACCGACTTGAATTTTAACATCACATTTCTTCTTAGAAACTAAAAGGTCTCCAAAGTCGTCACTTAATTTATATACGGACGCTTCCAATTTATTTATCGGGTGATTAGTTGCCACATAATCATCGTAGACAATGAGATGAACACCAACTGTCAAACTATCATTAGAAAAAAATTCATCTTTTTTTTTTAACAACTCATCTATTTTTACAAACGCGGGACAACCAAGCGCAGTTTTTGAACTGTTAAAAAAGGTGTTTGAATAAAAATCCAATAATTGACTATAAACTTCAAAGTTATTGAGTATTTTTTCCTTCTTCTTATTCAAAAGAAAAAATAAATACTTTGTTCGAACTTCTAGCTTTTTATTGTGTGAATATAAATAAATTGATACCCATGATTTATCTTTTGATTTACCATGATCATCTTTTTCAATGCTAAGTTGTAAGTGCCAAGAATCTTTTATTTTCGCACCAGTTGAAAATTTTGGAGAATCTATGTCAATCGTTTTTTCTTCCCCCCGGGCAGATTTAATAAATGAATCTATCTGATCAATTTTCCATGTGAAAAGAATTGAATGTGCCTCTGAATGGGAATAACCTTCTTCTTTTTTCTCAGTTAAATTTTGCTCAGCAAGGTTCGACATCATTATTTTTTAGGCAAAATTTCAAAGCAAACAATAATATAGATGTAATTATATCCTTAGGTGTTATTTCAATAATTAATAATAAAACTACACTGAACTCAATATTTTTCAATAATAATTTTACCACTCACATGAGCGTGCACTAAAAACTTTTCGGTTATGATAGAAAAAACTATAAAAGAGACAAGTGCGTTGATAGTTTTCTACACTACCGATTTTTACATGAGACTGAAGTTTACTGACATTAGAAATTTTATTATAATTACTTAAATTATTAATAAAAAATCTTAACTAAAAAAATTCTAAGTGTAGAAATTAGGAAAAAATTATTAGTGAAAATTTTTTAAATAATTTTTTAATTGTATTGATTGTTAAAAAAATTTTAAAGAATTGACAGTTGTCAGCTAACTTCAGTGTCATATTTTTAAAAACTTTGGAAAATCCAAAAGTCTACGCCTCGTTACGCTTATTTATATTTTAAGAAAAAAATTAATTGTGCAGTAATTGATTAAAAAAAAAAAAAAAAAATTATAATTAAGTAATTTCTTAGAGTATTTTTTATTTTTTTTTTTTAATATCAGCGCCCTTTTTTCTTGTCATATGCGCACGCAGTCTAAAAGAATCTAGCTTGATCAAGTGGCGCTATAGTTCTCACGTGATAAATAAGAAAAGTTCGTTTGGCTTTGTACGGTTGTATCGTACTAAAAATTCAATTTAAAAAAAAATACCTAAACTAGGCCACTGATATGAAATACGGGCCCAGTTTATCGAATTTTTAAACTATAATAAAAAAGGTCCGGTTTTGAAATATCAATTTGTTCGGGAGTAATCGTTGGTATATCCAAAATGGGGTGACATCCGGACGTCCACGTAAAATTTTTTTCAAAACGTTTTTTTTTT